GGAGACAAAGGGGCGGAGCGTGACGCAGTGGTGAGGGTGTATAGACTGGACCTTTGTGCACGAGTGAACGTGGCCAGGTGGCGGCCGGTCTCGGAGCACGTGCAAATCGCCACACGCTGCCGACCAGGGGTGAAGGTGTCAACCCCCGCATCCTGGAGGACAGCGTTGCTCACCAAGTTCGTAGAGAACGAGGGGAGGTGGAGACCAGACAGCTCACCAGACAGGACCGCCGGACATGGAAGCACGGTGGAAGACCGTGTAAGCACTGGGCCCCCAGAGGGGTCAGCCAGTGAGGCAGGTGTCAAGAATAATATATATTTCTATATATTGTTTTGTAACTGCCTGTAGTGTAGACTACTGTAGTTATATAATGTTCTGTTTGGTGGTGCACCTTTCTTCTTGCCTATTTGTACTGCTCGCTCTATAGTGAAACCCCTCTTTTGTTGAAACTTCTCGACTTTCCTAAACTCACTCGAGCTCAATCGCTCCTACCCAACTTACTATGGCTCCTAAGCCTAACGCTCACTAGTCCTTTTTTTCTCATGATATCAGAGTGAGGTTCCTATCCTAGGACCTGATTTTTTTTCCCATGGGCCCACCGCTTATCGTTTCTGCCATGGCGCTCGTCGCGGCCCCAAAAGTGCCCGTTCGGCCGCTATTCGTGAAGCTTACGAAGTCCAGCGTGGCGGGCTTAGTGCTGTTCGTCGCGGCCCCAGTCGGCGGCCCAGTCGCCTCCCCTTCGCGCCCTCCTGCAACCTCGTCACGCCATGTCGCGGCCCCGAGCGTCTGCATCGACGGTCGCTTTGGGGGGAGACGACGGGTGTGGCGGCCGAGCTACTTACGTCGCCGAACGCGCCCCCTGCCCCGCCCTCCCGTCGAACATACCGCTGCTACCACTGCAGCTGCCACGCAAGCGACGGTGCAGCAGTGTGGGGGGGAGGTTTTGGGGAGGCGGGTGTGAGCAAGAAGCTGCCGCCCCTCCTCTCTCTCTCACTGCCGCACGTGCCGCTGTGGGGGGGGGAGTGAGGGGGCGACGGAAGTCAGCCGGTCATCTGCTGCTGACGCCCGCTGCTGCCGTGGCACCTCCAGCTGCCGCCCCTGCTACCACCTACCTTTTGTTGTCCTTGTTTCTGCTACCTACTGCTGGGGCCTGCAGGTGCTGCCGTCGAGCCGCTGCTGTCCTGCTGCATGTTGCAGCCACAGAGCCTGCTCCTCAGGCGACCTGCCGCCCCAACACCTGCTACTGTTTTTACCTTGGTAAAGGGGTTGGTACAGCTGGATCTGCCATCACTGCACCGGTTGCCACTGCACTTGCCTGTTGCTATGATTTCCGCTGCGGCCTGTCTGGTGTACCCCATCATGGGGGCGTTGACTGCATATTCTTCCCTACAGGCACTTATGGGGGCGTGTCAAGAATAATATATATTTCTATATATTGTTTTGTAACTGCCTGTAGTGTAGACTACTGTAGTTATATAATGTTCTGTTTGGTGGTGCACCTTTCTTCTTGCCTATTTGTACTGCTCGCTCTATAGTGAAACCCCTCTTTTGTTGAAACTTCTCGACTTTCCTAAACTCACTCGAGCTCAATCGCTCCTACCCAACTTACTATGGCTCCTAAGCCTAACGCTCACTAGTCCTTTTTTTCTCAACACGAACAGGTGCAGGGAGGGGAGTGACTGTGGTACTGTCGCGAAAGAAACAGCGGGAAGCACTAGAGTCAAGTGTAAAAGTGTGCAAGGCCTGTGGAGGCGCAGTACTAGGGGGAGCAGACTCACAAGCACCTAGTGCTGCAAGCGCTATACCAGGGACTATACTAGGATCCGGCGGCACACACAAGTAGCAGTCACCCTCAGCACTAACAGAGAATGCATACATAGCAGCAAGAATAGCCTCTTAGTCAGGATCAAAGATAGGTACATCACGCCTAAGCAGCTCTGCCCAGTTGGGGAACTCAGGAGCATCAGGAAACTTGGCGCGCCAGGCGTCGCTAAGCCGAGCGAAGCAGCGCTGCTCAGTGTGATAACCTGTGCACTGGCAACCAGTGCGGGGACCTGTGCGAATGATATAGGGGCAGCGACAAGGACCCCCAGAAGTCCCACGCCCGGCGTACCAGTCAAGAAGCTGCTGGGAAGTGGGGGTCTGGCGCTGACGCTGCTGCTGCTGCTGTTGCTGCGGCTGCTGTTGGCCCTGACCACCACTACCACCACTGCTCCCTCCTCCCCCACCGCCGCTGCTACCCCCTCCACTGCTCCCAGTGCCTCCGCCGCCCCCACCACCACCTCCACCGCCTCCACCCCCACGACCACCCCCACCACCTCCATCTCCCCCGCCGCCTGCACCACTGCCACCTCCACCGCCACCCCCACCGCCAGTGCCACCACTACCGCCCCTGCCGCTGCGACGCTTCGCACTAGGAGCGGAAGCAGCTCCGACCTCCTCAGCACCAAGGTAGTCGTAAGCAGCAGCTGCGGAGGTGTAGGAGGGGGTGAGAGGGGAGGGGGAGCACCCCTCAAAGAGGGGAGAGCGAGGAGTGCCACGAGCAGCACCTACAGCGAGGATGTTCTTCTATGCTACGAGGAGGTGCTTCTCGAAGTCGTCGACTGTGAGAGTGGGGGGATCTAGCGCGAGGAAGTGGTCCCTGACTGAGCTAAGAGTGTCAGGGAGGCGGGTGACGAGGAAATAGAGAGTCAAGTGCATCGGGGGGGGGGGGGGGGGGTTTGCGGCGCAGAACTCGGCTGAAAGGGCGGCACGAAAGCGAGTGTTAGTAGCGCGCAGGTGGGAAATGAGGTCCTCAGCAGTGGTGAACGAGGAAAGGTCGGGGAACAGGTAGGGTAGCATGAGTCGACCTATGGCTATAGTGGCCGGGGAGGAGTAGCGCGCAACTACAACGTCGTACAGCTTCTTAGCGGTTTTGTGCTGGCTGAAATGCGCGCGCTCAGTGATCGGCAGATGGTTCCTAATAGCTAGGTGTGCAGCAACATCACGAGTCTGCCACTGCGAGCGTTCGAGAGCAGGAGCATCGGCAGCAGGAGCAACGGTAGTGCCAGACACGTAATCGAACAGTGAAACGCCCTCTTTGGCATCGGTCAGAAGGAACAGTTGCAAGTCGTCTAGCCACACAGCGAACTCTATGGGGCGACCGTCAGTTTCGAATGCGAGAACATTAGGCGTCGTCATAACGGCAGCAGGCAAAGGCAGCAGAAAGCAGGCAGGCAGTAGACACGAGGCAGCAGGCAGTAGACATCAAGCTAAGACAGAGGCAGTAGCCAGCAGGCACTACAGGCAACGTGCACGGCAGTAGCTTGCTGCACTCGAGCTCCTACGGTGGCGCTCTAGACAGTAGCAGGCCGCACAGTTCTAAGGCAGCGGGCTCCGCAGCAGTGAGCCTCACAGGCAGGTACACGAGTAGGGCACGCGCGGCTGCTGGCTGCGTGCGGCTGAGGGCTGCGCGCGGCTCTCTGCTGCGCGTGGCTACGTGCTGCGCGCGGCTCCTGGCTGCACGTGGCGTCGGGCTGCGTGCGGCTCCTGGCTGCGCGTGGCGACAGGCAGCGCGCGCGGCTGCGGGCTGCGTGCGGCGACGGGCCTAAGCAGGCTGCGCGCGGGCGGCGTAAGGGGCGCGCGGGCTCTACGCGGGCTGCGCGGGCGACGCGGGCCGGCGCGCGGCTCTGCAGCAGTGGCGGGCGCTAAAAAAAAAAGAGACGCGCGCGCTAGAAATCAAGGCGCGCGCGGAAAAAAAAGTGACGCGCGCTGCAGCCGAGGCGCGCGCGGGCAGTAGGCAAGGCAGCACGTGGTAACACAGTTAGGTGGGCCCGATTCTTAGGTCCTAGAGACCTCGTGCTCTAGTTACCATGTTAAGACTAAGGGTGCGTTCCTGTGGAGACACTTGTGTCTCAATCCCCTCTTTTCCGAGTCGCGTCTACACATTTTTGCAATCTCGCGTCACAAAAAATGAGTGTATCACGAAACTGTGCGACCAGGCGAAATTTACAGCTGTGCTCATTTGATTGGATTTCAAACTTGACTGAACACTTGCTTCTTCAACTGTCTGGTTTGGGTGGGGTTTTGACGAGCGGAACTTTTTCCCGCGCGAGTTTTTTACTGTGGAATGTCCAGGTGCATTGACATTTCGAACCGCGTACAGAGTTGTTGACAATGACGGGTCGATACGCAACTCGTCCGTGACATCAGCGCGTTTCACGTTGACAAATGAAAAATACATTAAAAGTCGCACAAGGGCGACACGCGTTTGTGACATTGTACGTTATAAGCTAGTTTTACGCGTCACAAAAGGATTGAGACACAAGTGTCTCCACAGGAACGCACCCTAAGTCAAGGGAATGGATGAGATTAGGTCAAGGTTGGGGTACAAGACTGGAGTGTCGAGAAAGTCTCTGTACCCCCTAGTGCTAACCCCCATTCAGCCTATATAACCTGAACATATATATATATAATTTGACATTACTGGTTTAATGATTTTGATGTTTCAATCTTAACAAATGCCCAACATGCGGTACATGTCCTCCAGAAAGTTTTTGGGAAGGATATTAAATGTCAAATCTGTTCTTGTACCGTATCTTACATTACCGTATGGTAACAATCTGGTCATTCTGGTGGAAACACTTGTAGAAGGTGCTCATGTTCCATTGTTTAGAAGAAATGAGGTGCATCGGATTGCATTCCCCAAGCAGATTACAGTGTGGCCACAAGTAGAGCAGGTGTCGAACACAAATTCAGGGCATTGGTAGGTACGTACCGCACATTGTCATAACAAATACTGTCAGGTTGGGTGCTGCTGCTGCTGCTTCCATATATACATCCTAATGTACATTGCCTAAGCTGATGAAAGACAACTTTATTTACCACCTTCTGTCCGAAAGCCGCTGAAAGCAGTATGAAGCTGGGTCAACCAAGAGCGTTCCACTCCCTGCTGCATAAACTCTCCATGCCCATCCGCCATAAATATTCTCTGAACCTCATCTCCACTTCAGACGTTCCATTTAAGTGATACTGCCAGGCACTGCTACACCTACCGCACTTGTGCCTGCGCCCTGCTGGTCCTTCTCCGGGTTATCAGGTTGCAGAGTGAGTTGCACACGGCAAACGGGGCAGGTGGTGTGTGAGGTGAACCAGGCGTCGAGGCACGGCTGGTGGAAGTGATGGCCGCATGGTTGCCGCTGCTGCACGTCATGCACCTCGTAGTCAGTCAGGCAGATGGGACACCTGTGGGATCAACGAGCAATCAACAGGCGGGGTGCTGAATGGATCGGACGAACGACAATGGGTGCGCCAAAAGTTGGGGAAAGATAAGACGGCAATTGAGATGGGTTGCAGTGCATATCATGAATCGAGAGGGAGAGTGGGTTGACGGGTTTTAGGGAGATGTGGGCTTCATGAATTTGTTGCTTAAGGAGAAAGGAGGGGACGCGTTGACTACCACCGTTCGAAACTCACTGGTCATCTGAGTCAGCAAGATCGCGAGGCGCAATGACAACGACCGACAGTTGGTCCCTCAAGTCTTCCGGCAAGCCCTGAGAACCGTAGTACAAGGTACGTATTGGGTTATGAAACAAAGAGAGCAATTTCTGCAGATTAACACGCTACAGATTCCATCCGCGTCCATTTTTCCGATCAGCAGCACTGGTAGAGCCTGCTACCTTGACAATTTCCGGCTGGCGTGGCCGCAACGCGTCGCTCCTTGTGCCTCCCTGTGTCTTTCGACTCCACGGAAACAGGCAGACGCACACCGTGAGCAGCATGCACGCTATCACGATGATCAGCTCGCCGGCCGACAGTTGTACGCCGGACATAACTGAGCTCTGTGTCGCTCTGAGTCGTCCTGTGTCGTCCTGTGTCGTATGTTTCTCTCCTAGGGTACGTATGGCAAATAGCTAGCTGCGGAAGGGAAATTGTTTCGGTAATGTGTAAGGCGTTGACATTCGACTCATCAAGAGGCGATGGATTCCGCGTAAATCGACCTCCGGTATTTCAGTCGTGGTCGATGTGCGTGTGGGTCTAACGAAGGCTCTGCTCATGTGTGGCTGGAAACGGATTAGAAGATGTGGCCCCGATCATAAAAAGGCCCCTAGGGAGGGACCAGACAGTCGAATTTCCCTCGACTGATTTTTTAGCCAGATTCGTTGCGCAATCCTTATCATTCACCCTTCCGTGAAGGTGCCACACATGGCCTGCAGGCAAGGCAATCTCGAAAACATTCAGTTCTGTACAGTACACCAACGGAACGGATCCTGCGGCTTGTTCCATGGCGGCTTGCACTCTACTTTCGACGGGGCTGCTAGATGACGGAGTCACGGAGGCATGTGGTGGAGGAGAGCGGCGGAATCAGGGGAGGGCGTTTTCTAAATTCACCAGCAGGCTCACTTTCCCAAGTCTGAAAGGCAAGTCCACTGGACCTGCCACGTATACTCCTCCGGAACTGGAGCGTCAGGATCAAGGAATATGCTTCGGAATAATTTCATGCTGGATACAGCGAACTGTACCAATCCACTATTGATGCTATGGCAATAATCTAACGATATACAAGAATAAAAAACACATGATAAGCATGACATCTTAGCGTTGTGCCTCTCACTCTGGCAGCGCTGCTGATGTTCATTAGGAGCATAAAAAAAAACACACTAAAAGGTGATTGGTTGTAAGGCACTTGGTAGTGTCTACCTGCTGCCCTCATTCAACCCTCTGCTGCCGGCTCAGCAGGTCTGGTGCAGCTGCTACCATGCTACTCTGCCACCCAGCACCATACTCCCATATTCACCAGCTCATCCAGCCGCCTGGGAGGGCCTGCAGCAGCAGTAGCAGCAGCAGCACCACCACCACCACCACAGAAGTCAAGAACTTGCTTATCGATCCTTTTCACCAGTGAATGCAAGCAGAAGCAAAAGTGCCCGGAAATTTCTACAGAGGGACAGTGAGGGTTGTTGTAGACATGAAATAGCCAGGCTTGCAGGATGATTCCATATCAGCTGCAGAAATCCTCCCAGTATCGCAGAAATCTTACTCTCCTCTGCCTTTTTTGAAGGCTTTTGGTGCTTCAACAGCTACCGCAACGAGCATCTGCTTTGTGATTGTAGGAGGGAGAGAAGAATTACGATGAGGCACGCTGCCCATGAGTATCTGCCTCTCTTGAATTGATGCCATGACACACACAAGAGCGAAACTGCTTCTGAAAAAAGGGGTTTCAGCCCCGCTCACCCACCCAAGGGGTTTCAGCCCCGCTCACCCACCCAAGGGGTTTCAGCCCCGCTCACCCACCCAAGGGGTTTCAGCCCCGCTCACCCACCCAAGGGGTTTCAGCCCCGCTCACCCACCCAAGGGGTTTCAGCCCCGCTCATCCACCCAAGGGGTTTCAGCCCCGCTCACCCACCCAAGGGGTTTCAGCCCCGCTCACCCACCCAAGGGGTTTCAGCCCCGCTCACCTACCCAAAGGGTTTCAGTCCCCCACTCCTCGCCCTCTCACTCCACTTACCTTGGGGGAATCAGGCCCCCACCATCGCCCCTCACAAAACTTATCTTGGGGTTTCAACCCCCTTATCAGGACCCCACCATTGCCCCTCAATCAATTCACCCTGGGGTTCCATCCCCCCTCTCTCCTCGCCCTCTCATTCCATTTACCCTGGGGGATTCAGGCCCTCACCATTGCCTCTCACTTAACTCACACTGGGGGTTCAGGCCCCACTCACCACCCAAGGGGGTTCAGGCCGCACTCACCACCCAAGGGGGTTCAGGCCGCACTCACCACCCAAGGGGTTTCAGGCCCCCTTCCCTCTCACCCACCCACCCAGCCCATCCCCACACTCACCTGCCAGCAGTAAGAGCAGCAGAAAGCCCACTTCCTTTAGGAAACAGCACCCCCAGAGGCTGTGCCTTGTGGGGCGAAGTGTGGTAGTGGAAAATTGCTTCCAGCCCAAGACTCAAATCCCACCCCTGACATAGCCAGAGCTGACGCGAACCAGAGCCGCCGGCCGGTCGGCTCTGACGGTGTCCATTAGGCCTTGAACGCCAGATCGGTTACTTGAACACCGAGTGCCGTGCCGCGCAGATTCCACCCTCCACACGCCACCACCACAAGACACAACCCCAGGAGATGCTAACCCTAAGGCAGTGAACTCCCCGCTTGCTCCCATGCTCCCCACCCAACAACCCCACACTTCGCCCCCACGCGTCCTTACCTGTACCTACCACAGCCGTGCAGAGCGGCATGATGATGAGGCTGCTGGGAAGTGGAGAGAGAAGGGGGATTAGGGGAGGGAGATACTCCACTGTGGTCCAGGCAGGGTGCTGCTGGGAGGGAAGGGAGAAGGGAGAGAGGAGGAGGTGAGTGAGAGGGTGGTCTCCACTCTCCTGCCCTTGCTCCAGTGCTCCCACCTTCAGCCTGCAGGAGAGAAAGGGAGGGAGAGAGAGGGGAGGGAATCAGATCACCACACCTCACCTGATACCATACCAAACCTTTTACCACACCTCGCTCACACCATGCCTAGCCTAATCTCCTGCCCAGTCCCCCACCCCCCCAACGCTGCTGCGCTGCTGCTTCTGCTGCTGACGGTCTGCTACTCTGCTTCCTCTGCTGCACTCTTCTCTTTGATGCCGAGTGACCTGGTGGCAGGCAGAAAAGGGGGTGGGGGACAGGAGAGAAAGGGCAGAAGGTTAGTGATGTGACGTGAACAGAAGCACACTAGTCAACACAGAAACGCATAAGCTGACAAAGACAAGAAGGGCTAAATGCAGAGAGAACTGAAGCAACAACACTCTAAGGAGGGAGGTAGCGCACCTTGAGAGGCCAGCCCACCCCAATACTCTCCCTTGGGGCACCAACTGCAAGCTGCTGCAGTGCTGCCGCCCTCCCATCCCCGTGGGTACCTGCACGGCCAAAAGGGAGGGGCGTGGGGGAGTGTTGGCGTCGACCCACACGCCCCTCCCTCCACCTGCAACGCGCACACACAGAGATAGTGAGTGTGCAATCATAACACAATGCTGACATGGCAGCTGGGACTACAAACGCAGGGAAGTGGAGGGAAGGGGAAACTGGTGGAGGGAAGAATCACAAGCCACGGACCATCGAGGGAACCTGAAAAATGAACCTGAAAAATGAACCTGAAAAATGAACCTGAAAAATGAACCTGAAAGTAGGGGGTAACCTGAGGGGGGTGTAAGGCCTAGGGATGGCTTAACCTGAGGGGCTCCGGAGCTAAGGGGGAGGGTCTGTGGCTTGCAAACCGGGCCCCAACCAGTGGCGAGTTCTTAGGGAGAAAAGGTGGAAGCACATGCGGAAATGATTCAGGGAGCAACGTGAGGAAAGAGCAGAAAGCAAGGGTGATACAAGAGAAGAGAAGGCACTTAACTGGCAGCTGAAGATGTTGACTTCAGCTCCTCCCTCCCCTCCACTCCTGCTGCTGCTGCCGCCGCCACGCTGCTGCTGCTGCTGCTGCTGCTGGCACCGCCACTGCCGCGGCTGCTGCAGCCAGGGAGAGGCGCGGGTAAGCGCCGGTGTTGACCCCAGCGCTCCTCCCCTCCACCTGCAAGGAGCATGCACAGAGCCTGTGATTGTGCAATCACGGGATGAAGCTGAACTGGCAGCTGTGAGTTCGAAAGAAGCGCATGCGAGGGGAGGGGCCACTGGTGAAGGCGAGAGCACAAGCCACAGACCTTTGAGGGAACCTGGGGGAATAAACCTGCTGTAGGGGTTGTACCTGATTGGGCTGTAAAAGTCTAGGGAGGGCTTAACCTGAAGGAATTACTAGGAGTAAGGGAAGGTCTGTGGCTTGTGAACCAGTCCCCAACCAGTGGCAAGATTTCAAAGATTAAACACTGAAGCCAACGTGAAAAGGACAAGAGTAATTCAGCATGAGCAGTGAGAAGCAGGCAAGAGTGAGTCCAGGGAGGCGAAAGCACTTAGCTGGTAGCTGAAGAAGCGCCAAAAGATGCCGCCTTATGTCCCCCTCTCCCCTCCCCTCCCCTGCTGCATCAGCGCTCCCCGCTGCTGATGCTGCCACAACTGGTCCCGTCAGCTGCCTCTGCTGCATTGCGAGTGACCTGGAGGGGGGCAGAACGGAAGGGAAGGCCAGGAGGGGAGTGAGTGCAGGCCTTGAAACAGGCAAAGGCGAATCAAAGGGACGAGCGCGAGGGCAAGTTAGCAGAAAACCAGTGCAGCGGCAAAGAGAGGTACGAGGCTTACCTTGAGAGGCCAAGCCCATCCCGATACTCTCCCTTGCTGTAGTGGGATTGCCATGCTGCAGTGCTGCCCCCCTCCGGTCCCCACAAGTCCCTGCACGGCCACAGGGGAGGGGCGCGGGGAAGCGTCGGTGTTGACCCCAACGCCCCTCCCCTCCACCTGCAACGCACACACATGGCGGTGGTCAGTATGCATGGTATGGGCACAACACAAGCCAGAGACCGGAAACTGCCAAATGTGGAAGAGAAAAGGAGGGTCACTGGTTAAGGCAAGGGCACACGCCACAGACGCCAAGGGAACCTGCACCTGAGAGGGGAACCTGCACCTGAGAGGGGAACCTGCACCTGAGAGGGGAACCTGCACCTGAGAGGGGAACCTGCACCTGAGAGGGGGACCTGCACCTGAGAGGGGGACCTGCACCTGAGAGGGGGACCTGCACCTGAGAGGGGGACCTGCACCTGAGAGGGGGACCTGCACCTGAGAGGGGGACCTGCACCTGAGAGGGGGACCTGCACCTGAGAGGGGGACCTGCACCTGAGAGGGGGACCTGCACCTGAGAGGGGGACCTGCACCTGAGAGGGGGACCTGCACCTGAGAGGGGGACCTGCACCTGAGAGGGGGACCTGCACCTGAGAGGGGGACCTGCACCTGAGAGGGGGACCTGCACCTGAGGGGGTTACCTGCACCTGAGAGGGGGACCTGCACCTGAGGAGATACCTGAAGTGAGGGGGTCTGAGGCATGTAAACCGAGCTCAACCAGTGGCATTGTTTCAAAGGGGAAGGGCGAAAGCACAGCCGGCAAATGAAATGGCAGCAAGAAAGCAACAAGCCATGATGTGGCGGGCAAGGGTGAGGGCATGGAGGAGGGTGACTTAGCTGATAGCGTGAGGGCGAGCTCAAGGCAGCTGCAGCCCCACCACCAGCAGCCCTCATCCAGGTGCCTCCTCCCTGCACGGCCACAGGGGAGGGGCGTGAGGGAGCGTCGGTGTTGACCCCACAGCCCTCCCCGCCACCTGCAATGCGCACACACAGAGCTAGTGAGAGAGCGGTGGTGGGAGCAAGTTGAAGGGGAAACTGTGACTTGAAATGCAGCGCAAGGGAAGAGAGGGGGAGCCACTGGTTGAGGCACGGCAACAAACTGCAGACCCAAGGCCACCTGAAAAAGAACCTGAGGGGTGTACCTGCACCTGAGAGGGTTACCTGTTGAGTGGGGGTCTGTAGCATGCGAGCCGCGCTCGACCAGTGGCTAAGTTTCATTGAGACGGTGCAACGCAGATGAAACAAACGAAAAAATGCTGGAGGCAAGGGTGCGGCCATGGGGGAACGGGTACTTGGCTGATTGTGTGGTGCAGGCGGAGGGGGTGCTTCAATGGAGAGTTGGCAGGGCGAGCGGGGCTTGAAGGGACTGACCTGCGAGGCAGAGGAGAAGGGAGAGAGAGATAGAGAGATAGTAAGGGAGGAGGGAGCGACTCTTTTAAACGAGAAGACAGGCAACAGAGCGAGTGCAAAAAGGACGGTGCATGTGACGCCAACCACAACCCCACAAGAGCCGCTACCAACCTGAACCTGCACCTGAACCTGAACCTGAGGGGGAGTGGGCTCGAGTGGAGTGTGGTGGCAGGGGCGATACTGCAACCTCAACCGTTGATGCAGAGTGGGCGCGGTGGGGAGGGGTTGAAAGAATGGACCTGCGAGGCAGAGGAGGTGGAGAGAGAGTTTGTGCATGGCAAGTGGGAGGGAGCGGCCGTTGCAAGTGAGAAGAGCGCGTGACAGCAGTGTGAGTGCAGAAACGACGGTGCACGTGATGCCGGTCGAAATCAAACCAGGGGGCCCAAGTTAGTGACGTGGGTGGCCTATCGACCCCAAACGCTGCCAACTAAGATCATATTTTTCTTGGGGGGTAACTAAGCTGTCGTGAGGGTTGAAAGAGCGCGAAAGGTGGTGGCTCGAAGGGGTAATTTTCGCGGCGGGCCGAAGCGCAGCGGATATTAGGCCGCGTAACTTTTTCACCTTTCATCGTCCGGATGGAGGCCCCGTCCGGACTTCTGTAGGGTAACTAATTTCGTAACAGTCCGTTTAGATGTTCGCAAGAACCCCTGCGACGTCCCTACCGTCCGGACACAATCTGACACTTTTCTGCCAAAAAGTGGTCCGGACTAACCTGCTGACTCCGTCCGAACGGCATTTCGGACGGTCCGTTTTATCTGCGCGGTGATTCGGCCACGAATTGAATGATTTTCCAACCAATAGGATGCCGTCAAATTTTGGTGGCGAAATCTCCAAGTGCTATACGATTTCTGTAATGCGTGTTATTATTCGTGGCGAGATTCTACATTTTCGATAGGGGAACAGGTTGCACAATTATGGTCCGGACGCCCTATCGTCCGGACCTGCTTCCCAAACATCCGGACAGAGCTCCGTCCGGACGTTTTGGGGGTCCGTCCGGACATCTGCCAAAAAGGGAAAAGTTACGCGCCCTTAGGGCGTGTCTCTTTTTTGCTTTTATGGATTTTGACGGACTGTCCGGTTGTATGTAAACGGACAGTTGCAATAGCGAGTTTCGGACAGTCCGATTCAAAATTTCAAAACATTGGACATGTAAGGAAATTCCCTTTTCCTTACTTCGCGTCCCTGCTCAACGCGTACGTCACTGTAGCACCTCAGTCAGCACCGTTACCACTCACGACCATCGCATCATTCATTATCCCGCCCTCTTCGCACATCGCATCCCGACCTCACGGCTCGGCTGGTAACCCGCGCTCCGGGCCTACGCTTCGACACTTTCCCAACCTCAGCCCCAGGCTCGTCGCGCGACAACCACAGTCCATTACCGTTACCACTATTGTTTCGCTATATAATCCTTCGCTCATGCCTTCGCTCATTGTACTCTTTGCTTCGATAGTGCAATTCTCGTTCGTTCACTCAATTGCACACGTAACACTTGGTAATCAGAGCCTACGATCTCATCTCAGACCGCATCCACACCTTCGCTTCCCACTATCTCAATTTTTGGGGGGGGTAGACGTCTCTCAGCGACACAGCACCGCCGCTCGTAGTGCTCTCTCGCAAGCACGCACGGCCACGACCGAGGCTCTCGCTGAGCTTGCCCGACACCCCCGCCATGGCCGACCTCAATCTCGCCACGTTGACGCAGGAGCAACTCGATCGTCTCGTGCGACAATTGGAGGATTCGGCGCTTGAAATCGCGACGCTCACGGCGGAACGTGACTCCGCTCGTCAACAGTCAACGGTGAATGCTCCGACAACATCCCATGCACCAACCAATGTCTCTGTACATTCGGAGGAGCCGGTTATCATTTCATCCGGCACACCAACGCAACACAACAGCACGGGACAGCGCTCAGGCGCAGCCAGTGACGGCGCAGCCCAACCGATGCCCGGCATGGGAGGGAACAGGAGCACGCTAAGCCCACGGGAGCCCCGAGAAGCCCGTCGGCACGTGGAGTTTGCGACGACAAGTGGCGAAAACGCCATGATGGCCCCAATGCCACTCAAGCCGCAACGCCCGCCCTGCTTCGACCCAAGCCAACGCGGCGGCCCGACAGTTCAATCATGGGTCTTCACGATGAATGTGTTTTTCGACGCCAACTACGTCGAGTCGGACGCCGCCAAGATTCGGTATGCGGTTTCACTACTCAGGGGCCCCGCCATGGACTGGTGGCGAGTCATCGTGACGTCGCCACGCGCCTACGAGCCACCGTCGCACGAGGAAGGGCCCTCGGGTCCAGCTGTCACCTGGAGTTCGTTCTGCGAAACAGCCCAATACAGCACGTGGGATGCGTGGTGCGCAGGGCTTCGGGCGCGTTTTGAGCCGATCGCGGCTTCGATTTCGGCGCGTCAGAAACTGCGCACTTGGCGCCAGCTCGGGTCGGTTCAAGACTACACCAGCAATTTTCTCGCACTTTGCGAACAGGTCGGCTACATGCACGAGGCGGAGCGGGTGGACCGTTACGTCGGAGGGCTGAAGCCGGACATATCGCACGAGATAATGCTACGCGGGCTATCGAATTTCAACGAAATCCTCGCGCTCGCCGAGAAAATCGATATCCTACGCCGACCGAGACCGGGGTCCTATTTCGGACATCGTCCTCGGGGACCGATCGAGCACGCCACTGTACATGCCGTCGCAACGAATGCAGCTGCCACGCCATTTAGAGGGCGCTGCTTTGCTTGCAACCGGCCGGGCCATCGCAAGAGCGAATGTCCAGAGGAGCTGAGGCGTCGAGGAGCAGAGCAGGGGAAGGAGTCTCGGAGGCAGGGAAACGCCAGCAGTCAGTAGAAGTTGGGCCAACTACTGACGAGACTGCCTGCTCGCCCAACCACACCGACCCTCACCGAGTCACAGTACCGATTCACGCCATCGATCGGGCTCGGATGAATAAGGAGGGTACAGCGACGGATTGCCCGGTACTGATCTACGGGAAAATACAGGGAGCAGCAGTGAAAATCTTCATTGACGGAGGGGCAAGTCACAGCTTAGTTAATACTGCAACCGCACGGAGATTACAGTTAATACTTAACCGATGTTTACCTGAGATAGATGCACGCTTAGTCGACGGCACGCCATTGGCCATACGAGAAAAAGTGGAGCGAGTAAAAGTCCGCTGCGGGGGAAACTTCGGATTTACACAGGAAATGCTCGCAACGACGCTGGATGGGCACGACATTTTACTGGGACGTGATTGGCTGCGACGGTACAACCCACGGATCGACTGGACGACGGGGAGCTGCACAGTGCGAAGTAGCGGTAACTGGGTCGTCCTACCTCGCTGGCGGCCACCCGAATCTTCGACAGTCCAGGTCAACGCCATCACGATGAAACGGGCTGTCGCTGCTGGAGCCGACGTGTACGCAGTGGATATCGCAGTGGTAGAAAAAGACGAGCAGCAGAATGATTTAAAGAAACTGCTAGCAGCCGTACCGACCGAATTACAGACACTACTGAAACGGTTCCCGGGGATATTTCCGGATGATTTACCACAGGGACTGCCACCTCAGCGAGCGCACGACCACAGGATCGAGCTAGAACCGGGGGCACAGCCAACAGTACAGCGGCAATTTCGACTGACACAGCCCGAGCTCGACGAGTTACGGAAGCAGTTAGATTACCTGTTAGAGAAGCAGTTTATTCGCCCAAGCTCGTCACCGTTCGCCGCACCCATACTGTTCACACCGAAAAAAGACGGAGGTTTTCGCATGTGCATCGACTACCGAGCGCTTAACCGAGTAACAGTCAAATCGCGATACCCCATCCCCCGCGCCGACGAACTGATTGACCAACTGCGAACAGCACGTGTCTTTTCGAAAATAGATTTACGGGGAGGTTACCATCAGATTCGGGTCGAACCATCGGACTGCGCAAAAACAGCATTTAGGACTAGGTACGGGTCATTCGAGTATACAGTAATGCCTTTCGGGTTGACGAACGCGCCTGCGACTTTTCAGATGACCATGAACGAGGCGTTTACACCACTTTTAGATAAATGCGTGATCGTTTACCTCGACGATATCCTCGTTTACAGTCGGGATAAGCAGCAACACTTAGCAGATCTTGAAGCAGTTTTTAAGGTTTTAGAGGAACATCGGCTGCTCACCAAGGGCTCCAAGTGCGAGTTTTTTAGGGATAGGCTAGAGTTTTTAGGTCACGTCATTTCCGAGGCTGGGGTTGAGATCGACCCAAAGAAGCTGGATACGGTAAAAGCGTGGCGCCCCCCGACAAACATCACGGAACTGCAGAGTTTTTTAGGGTTTGTTAATTACGTTCGACGGTTCGTGCCCGACATGGCACGTTTAACAGCCCCACTAACTGATTTACTGCGTAAGGGGGTCGCTTTTACGTGGGGGGAGAAAGAGCATGCTGCCTTCTCTGCCCTAAAAAACGTCCTCTGTTCACCACCCGTTCTACGTATCGCTGATCCCCACCGCCCTTTCGAAATGGTTACCGACGCAAGTGACATCGCCATCGGAGCTGTACTGTTACAGGACTTCGGCAACGGCCTCCAACCCATCGCCTACGAATCACGAAAACTACATCCGCCTGAGCAAAATTACCCGATACACGACCGCGAAATGCTCGCGATCGTGCATGCATTCAAAGTTTGGCGCTGCTACTTGACTGGCGCAGACGTGACAGTACGGACAGACCACCGATCTCTACAGTACCTCCGCGCATAGCCCCACCTCAACCCACGACAGATTCGATGGCTCGATTTCCTCGAGTCGAATTTTCACTATAC